ACCAAAAAAAAAAAAAGATCGAGAAGGGAGAGTGTTGACATGTTGTGGGGTTGTTAACCAATGTCATAAAACAATATGGGTACTGGCTGTTTAATGAGAAACTATTTGTTCTGTAAACCTTCACCTAAAGTACAACAAAAAAATAAAAAATAAAAATGTAATTTTATCTTCAAAACCACATTGTGAAATAGGTATTACTATATACATTTTAAAGATAAGGAAACTGAGGCATAACATTAAGACTTGCTTAAAGTCTGCCACCCCTTAAGTACCAGAGCAGGCATTCAAACCTAAGTATCTACAACTCCAGGATATTTCTCTCAAAATTTTTTTTTCATTTGTTTTTTGCCTTAAAATGTTTTCATCACTAAAAATAAGAAGCACTGCCAAGGACCTTTTGGGAACAAGGAAATTTCAACATTAGATTCTAGCAGACCTCAGTGCCAAATGAATTGGAGCCAGGCTTTGATGGTAAGGCAAGTAGAGGCTTTCTAATCCCTAATTGGATTAAAGCTGCTTTGCTCCCTTTCTAAAGTATGTTTTCCTGTCACAGAACTACTGCCCTCTTTACATTTCTGACAATGTATAGTGGGCACAGCTCAATTAGCTGGGATTACTAGCTGTTGGCTATAATGCAGAATTCCTCTTAAGAGTAGGATAGGAAGAGGAAGAGGAGGAATAACAGCCATGAGGTAAATAATTTCAGCCATGAAGCAAGACAGTGCAGAGGTAAAGAGCCTGGACTCTTGAGAAAACTGCCAAGGTTCAAACACCTATTCTGCCTCACATTAGCTGGAAGAACTTAGAAAAGTAACTTAACCTTTCTGGGTTTCCATGCCTCATCTACAAAATGGGGATGATAGTTTTACCTCACATAAGGTTGAGGATTAAAAGACTTAGTATATGAAAAGTGTTTAGAATAGTGTTTGGCATGTAAAAAGCATTATTTAAATTTTGCTATCACAATTACTGTTATTCCTATACTTATTGAACAGAAAAAAATTTACATATGTTAAACAAGCACTTAAGAGATTCTTTAGTATAAGGAAGATATCTGCAAATAATTTTAATATTTTTAATGTCTATATATTTAAAAACAAAGCCCTATAAAACTGACATATCTATGTTAGTGTCCTAAAAACGGCTTTGGACTAAGAAGTTTCCTGAATACAACTAAACACTTCCAGGGACAGAGTAGGAGGGGTGAGAGTCTGGGGACCATGCTTTCATGGGACATCTAGGTCAACTGGCATAATAAAACTTATTAAGAAAATGTTCTGCTGATACAAACATTTTGGAAAACGATATGGCGCTTCCTTAGAAAGCTAGAAATAGAAATACCATACAATCCAGTGATCCCACTCCTAGGAATATATCCTAGAGAAGTAAGTTGTCACTCGAATAGACATATGCATTGTTCACAATAGCAAAAAGATAGAAACAACCTAGATGCCCATCAACAGATGAATGGATAAACAAACTATGGTATATACGCACAAGGGAATATTATGCAACGAGAAAGAACAATGATGAATCTGTGAAGCATCTCATAACATGGATCAAACTGGAGGATGTTATGTTGAGTGAAATAAGTCAATCACAAAGGGACAAATACTGTATGAGACCTCTATTGTAAAAACCCATGAAAAAGTTTATACACAAAAAGTAACAATCTTTGTTGGTTACCAGGGATGGGAGGGGTGGGGGCGAAATACTAAATAGGCAATAGGTAAGTGGTATCTTTGGTGAAGGATGAGACAGTACACAATACTGGAGAAGCCAGCACAACTTGTACAAGGAAAGGTCATGGAAGCTCCACAGACACATCCAAACTCCCTGAGGGACTGAACTGCTGGGCAGAGGGCTGTAGGGACCATGGTCTCAGGGAACATCTAGCTCAACTGGCATAACACAGTTTATAAAGACAAGGTTCTGCATTCTACCTTGGTGAGTAGGGTCTGGGGTCTTAAAAGCCTGTGAGCGGCCATCTAAGATACTCCACTGGTCTCATCCCTTCAGGAGGCAAGGGAGAATGAAGAGAACAGCATACAAGGAAAAGATCAGTCCAAAGGACTAATGGACCACAGCTACCAAGGCCTCTACCAGACTGAGTCCAGTACAGCAAGATGGTGCCCGGCTACCACCACTGACTGCTCTGACCGGGATCACAACAGAGGGTTCTGGACAGAGCTGGAGAAGAATGTAGAAAAAATTCCAACACACACAAAAAAGACCAGATTTACCAGCCTAAAGGAGACTGGAGAAACCTCGAGAGTATGGCCCCAGGCACCCTTTTAGCTCAGTGATGAAGTCACTTCCAAGGTTCACCGTTCAGCCAGGGATTGGACAGCCCCATAAAACAAAATGGGACTAATGAGGCACAGCAGTCCAGGGACAAGGGCTAGAAGGCAGAAGGGGACAGGAAAGCTGGTGATAGGGAACCCAAGGTTGAGTAAGGACAGTGTTGATGTGTCGTGAGGTTGTTAACCATTGTCACAGGGCAACATGTGTACTAACTGTTTAATGAGAAACTATTTTGTTCTGTAAACCTTCATCTAAAGTGAGAATAGCAGCACAATTGGAAGAGCGTAGTTGATGTCACTGAACTGTGCATGTAGAAATTTTTGAAATGGTGTATCTTTAGCTATATGTATATTTTCATCAAAAAAAAAAGGTCAAGAAGGGAGAGGGTTGGCATGTCGTAGGGTTGTTAACCAATATCATAAAACAATATGTGTACTACCGTTTCATGGGAAACTATTTGTTCTGTAAACCTTCACCTAAAGTACACTAAAAAAAAAAATAATTAATTAATTAAAAAGGGGGGAAAAAAAAAAGAAAATGTTCTGCATCCTACTTTGGTGAGTGGCATCTGGGGTCTTAAATGCTAGCGAGTGGCCACTTAAGATGTGTCAATTGGTCCCAACTCATCTGGAGTAAAGGAGAATGAAGAACACCAAAGTCACAAGGAAAGTATTAGCCCAAGAGACAGAAAGGGCCGCATAAACCAGAGACTGCATCAGCCTGAGACCAGAAGAACTAGATGGTGCCTGGCTACCATCAATGACTACCCTGACAGGCAACACAACAGAGAGTGCCTGATGGAGCAAGAGAAAAGTGGGGTGCAGGACTCAAATTCTAGTAAAAAGACCAGACTTAATGGTCTGAGACTGGAGGATCCCCAGAAAGCATGGTCCCCGGACTCTATGTCAACCCAGAACTAAATTCCTGAGGCCAACTCTTCAGACAGAGATTAGACTGGATACATGAGACTAAATGGGCAGCTCCTGTCTGGAGGTGAGATGAGAAGGCAGAGAGGGTCAGGAGCTGGTTGAATGGACACGGGAAATCAGGAGTGGAAAGGAAGAGTGTGCTGTCACTGTATAGGGAGAGCAATTATGGTCACATAACAATGTGCGTATAAATTTTTGTATGACAGACTAACTCGAATTGTAAACTTTCACGTAAAGCACAACAATAAGAAAATAAAAATAAAAATGGCTTCGGAAATTGATTTCCATCTTCTTCTTTAAGTAGACAATTTTTTTTTGTAATTGTTAATTCTTTTTTTTTTTTTCACATTTTTATTTTTTTATTTATTTTTTTATTGTACTTCAGGTGAAGGCTTACAGAACAAATAGTTTCTCATGAAACAGAAGTACACATGTTATTTTATGACATTGGTTAACAACCCCACAACATATCAACCCTCTAACTTCTCAACCTTTTTTTTTTTTTTGGTGAAAATACACACAGCCAAAGATACACCGTTTCAAAAATTTCTACATACACAGTTCAGTGACATTGACTACGCTCTTCCAATTGTGCTGTTATTTTCACTTAAGATGAAGGCTTACAGAACAAAATAGTTTCTCATTTAACAGTTACTACAAATGTTGCCCTATGACAATGGTTAACAATCTCACAACAAATCAACAATGTCCTTACTCACCCTTGTGTTCCCTATCACCAGCTTCCTTGTCCCCTTCTGCCTTCTGGCCCTTGTCACTGGACTACTGTACCTCGTTAGTCTCATTTGGTTTTACGGGGCTGTCCACTCCCAGGCTGAACAGTGAACCTCGGAGGTAACTTCACCACTGAGCTAAAAGGGTGTCTGGGGGCCATACTCTCAGGGTTTCTCCAGTCTCCTTTAGGCCAGTAAATCTGGTGTTCTTTTTGTGAGTTAGAATTATGCTCTACATTCTTCTCCAGCTCTGTCCAGAACCCTCTGTTGTGATCCTGGTCAGAGAAGTCAGTGGTGGTAGCCGGGCACCATCTAGCTGTACTGGGCTCAGTCTGGTGGAGGCCTTGGTAGCTGTGGACAATTAGTCCTTTGGACTAATCTTTTCCTTGTATGCTGTTCTCTTCATTCTCCCTTGCTCCTGAAGGGATGAGACCAGTGGAGTATCTTAGATGGCCGCTCACAGGCTTTTAAGACCCCAGACACTACTCACCAAGGTAGAATGTAGAGCATTGTCTTTATAAGCTGTGTCATGTCAATTGAGCTAGATGTTCCCTGATAAGCAGACAATTTTTAAACATAAAAATGAAAATTCCAAAGGGATAGTCAAAAACAATTCATAAAAATAAAGCCAGTTACTCGATTACATTAAAGGAGTATTAAATACCTAGAATATCCTTAGCATAATGCAACATTCTCCAGTGGATAAACAAGATTAGTCCCTAGAATCAATAAGCTTAAAATATTAGACACAAAAAATACACACATAGAATAGATAATCAAATAAGGCAGGGTCCAATTAAATGTCAGGGAATGACACATAACTGTGGAAGGAAAGCATTCTCAAGTACCATAAAAATTTATGAGTTCAATCAATAAAATTAAAAAAAAATTATCTGAGTATATTTAGTGCCACTCCTAATACTAGTGCTAAGAACAAGCTCAAAGAATTGGTATATTAAAATATTATAAATTATTAATGTATTATCTGAACATAAAATGAAAAGAGCATTATTTGATAATTTCCACTATAACTTACTGTTGCTATTTTTGTCTCGAGAAAGTTCTCCCTTTCTTCATCTACCTCAATTTCATGTCCAGTTTTAAATAATTCAAGCATTTTGGGTATGTCACGGCCAATGGATTCTGGTTAGGAAAAAAAAATCCAAAGTTACTACTACATCTCAGAAAAATAGCAAAAATTACTAAATATGATAAAAGTTTATCCCATGTGAAAGTAGAGCATAAAGTTGTGGCGGACAGACTGTTGTTAGTCCCTCTGATCCCCGTTTTCTAGTATTCACACCCTTGCATCATCTCCTCTCCTTGAGTATGCGTGCGAACTTCGACTTGTTTATATAACCAATAAAATGTGAATGCCTGTCTTGGAGGAGACTCTCTCCCCTAGTGGCTCTGAAGAAGCAAACTTCCATATGGAGGGGGCCATGAAGCAAGAAGTTGAGGGTGGCTTGCTGCTAACAGCCAGCAAGAAATTGAGGCCCTCAGTCCAGCAGCCCTATTGGCAAGGAACTGAATTCTGCCAACAACCACATGAGTTTGGAAGTGGATCCTTCACCAGTCAAGTCTCAGAAGAGACCACAGCCCGGTGAACACCTTCATTGTGGCTTTGTAAAACCCTGAAGTAGAGGACCCAGCTTAGCAGTATCTGTACTCCTGACACACAGAAACAGTGAAATAATAAATATGTGTTATTTTAAGCCACTAAATTTGTAGTAATATTGTTTCACAGCAATCGATAACTAATACATTAAGTATATACAATGATAATACTTATAATACCTTAAAAACTTAGATGACAAATTAAATCTATATAATAATCTATGATAAAAGCTAACAGTGCAGTCTTGAAATCTTTTAAGAACTTTTTACCTTTGTGCAGAATTTACCTGACCTGCCTTACCATAAAGAATGGAAGGAACTAGAAAGCGGCAAGAGTTAGTAGAAATAATAGTCAATGGAACAGTCTGGAGGTAGCTTGTCACTGCTCAAATGATTATAGAAGCTATTATGAGAAAAGAATTAAGAACTGAAACTTAACTTGTTGGATTCTAGTATCACTTTGTCCTCTATTAGGGTGGGAAAGAGATGTAATTGAATTCAGTGAGGAAAAAAATGGAATCAGGGTAAAGAACTAAGAATTGCAAGGGATTATGAAGGAGATTCTAAAAATAAACTCTTATCTACCTAATCTTTAATCATTAACACTTTAACTCAAATTTAAAGCAAAAAGTACATATTTTTAATATTCCACTATACTATAACTTAATTTGAAAATTTTTAATTTTGTGCATAGAAAATGTGAATTATTTCGAAAGGTAAGAAATATACTGAGGAATGTGCCACTAATGATACACCACTCCCAAGATTAGTCAACATGAGGATCTCACTGGATAGTGAGTACACCCCTGACATACTTCCAGGTATCATCTGATGAGTATGACTCAGGAGCATTTCAGCTATAAATGAAAGCAATTACCCATGAGGAGCTTACAACCTAATTGGGAGAAAAGGGGCATGAAGATGGAACAATTAATGGAAAATACTAAGTTTTTATTAGTATCACGTTCGGATGTAATTGAGTACTAAACAGTATGGCAAATGATGTAATAACAAACTGTAAGAATACTGTCATACATAAAACAGGCACCTGGTTATAACATCTTTATGTCTGCTTAAACTCTCCCTAACTTAGATACAGTTTTAAAAAGTTATGTTTTCATAAGAATAGTGCCGTGTACATAGTGAGAATTCAAGGATTACTTGCTGATTAACCTGAATCTATACCCACAACACTGCTGTCCTTCCTGTTACTACAAATGAACAGTCTATCCTCCTACCAAGGGCCATCCCTCTTCACTTGTACACTGGAGCCCACTCCTCCTCACCTACCGAGGGACACCACTCCTCCCTTCTCTCCTCTATACTGTCAATTGTCCCTGCTCTCCTAGATCATCTTCATCAGCTTACGCCATCCCTACACTACCACCGTCACTAACACAGCTGCCAAATATAGTCATTCTAACAAAAATATATAATTTTTATGTGCAATATTTCTTAATCGCTCCTATCTGTACAGAGGATAAAAATCTAATCTCCATGGCATGGCACACAAAGCCCTCCGTGACTTCGCCCAATGCCTAACCTCACTGACCACCACTACCTGATAACACTTTATGTACCAGATGACAGTAGACTACTTTTAATTTTCTGAACACAACTCACTCCCTCACACTTTTATGCATTAGTACAGGCCACTTCCTCTGCCTGGAATGTCCTCCCCATGCATGTCAGGAGGGCAAATATCTATTTATGCTTAAACCTCAGTTTAGCTCCTTCTTTATACAGTGAAACCTGTGAGAGCTGAAACTTGACAGGACTGCCTTGTTTTTCTGCGTCTCACAAGATTCTTGCCTTTGACAGGGTACGGTCTTACCACTTTTCTATCACTTGCTTTAGTGGAAAATATTTTAGTGTTCCTCCTCTGACAGGTTTCCAATCTTACACAGGTTCCAGCTTTTGCAGGTTTTACAGTATAATCTGATTCTACAAAGCAGTCCCTCATTCCTCTAAGCACTTTGTACTTTTCCACTAGTACACTTACTGCATTTTAGGGCAGCTATTTGTTCCCATCTCTCTCCCCTCTCAACTTTTATCTCCTTATGATGGGAACTGTCTTTTCATCTTTTAATCCTCAGTAATAAGTACAGTGCCTGGTATATAGTAAGCACTGAATAATAGTCTGCTTATTCAATGAATGAATTACAAAGTTAAAAATGATATTGAAAGATATGAAAAAGAACAAAGTAACTGTTGAGAATAGTTACCCTAGACACTGTAGGGAATCAACAATAATAGTAATATAGCCCACATATATACTAATTATGGACCCAACTTGTGCTAAGCTCTGCTCACAAAAACACCATAGGGTAGATATTATCATGAAATACATTTTATAGATGAATAAACTAAGGCACAAAAAGGTTAAAAATTTAGCTCAAGGTCACAAACCCAAACTCATTGCCATAAAGTTGATTCTGACTCATAGTGATCCTACAGGACAGAGTAGAACTGCCCCCATAGGGTTTCCAAAGTTGCATCCTTTTCCCGTGGAGCAGTTGGTGGGTTTGAACCGCTGGCCTTTTGGTTAGCGGCCCAGTGCTTAACTAATGCACCACCAGGGCTCCTTGCTCAAGGTCACAGTAAGTAATGAAGCCAAGGCTAAGAGAGATCTATCTTAACCAGTACTCTATTCTGCCTTTCAATACAGCCCAATACTAAATCATCATTGCTATTGCTAAGACTTTGCTATCGCATATTGCTAAGACTTTGCTATCGCATATTGCTATGTAATTCTCTCCTGGTTCTCCACTTTCTCTTTTCTCTGTGCTTTTTACATTCTATTTTTCTCGTCTCATTTTCTTTTCCTCTCCCTTTCTCCTCCTCCAATTCTGTCTATTCAACTTCCATAATGAACATAACATGTAGTAGGAGACAGGGCCAAGATGGTGAAGTAGTCAGACGCTTCCAGTGGACCCTCTTACAACAAAGACCAGAAAAAACAAGTGATTTGATTCTATATGGCAATCCAGGAGCCCTGAACATCAAAGGCAGAGTTGAGGAACCAGACTGAGCGGCAGGAGGGAGAGACGGGGAGTTCGGAAGCAGCGAGGAGTTGCCAGACCTGACCTGGCAAGAGCCTGAGCCCTTCAGGCCTTATCAGCTTGGAGGTGAGCGGTCAGGCAGGCAAGCAGCTGTGCTCTGGAGGCACATTTTCCACACCAGGAGAGACCCAGCACCAGACACTCTACACGGCCACCCGGAACCAGTGAGAAGCAGCCCTCCACGAAAGACAAGTACTTGTGTACGGCTTACCATGTGGATCAAAAACACATCCCTGAGGGAAAAACCTCTCTCCCATTTACCTCCCCACTCCCTGCTCTGCACTGGGTCCTGGACCGGCTTCAGCAATTGCCGAGTCCCCTGGACCAGAAGTAGGATCCACCACATGCCTGTAACCATTCTCCCTGACTTGGAGAGTGAACAAACTAACAAACTGGAAAAAATAAACTGCTGGCTCCCCTAAGCCAGGAACCCAGCGTAGGCACAGCTCCTTTGCCTAGGCACAGGCATAAGGGATCCATGGACTTCGAGTGCCTTTCCTCCTGCATAGACTTGTGTGGGCCCGTCTCAACAGCGTAGGCCCTCGTTACTGCAGTACAACAGGGAATATACCAGAACTATAATTGTTTCAGCTGTGAAGTAGCAGGTTCTTGACATTTGACACTGTTCAGCCCATTAAGCAGGGTCTTTCACCTACCCACATCAGGGGCCTGAGGACTGGTGGCTCCAACCATGCCACCTAGCCACCTGTGATAGCACCCCATGAATAAGAGTTCCCCCCAGTCCATACAGCCAACAGCATTAGGTGCTCATAGTCTGGCTGCAAAACCCACCCACCTACGCGCTCTAGGGAACAGGGACACGCCTTCCTTCTGGACACTCGGGGGCGGCCATCAGCCCCCTGCCTTGCTCAGTGTGTGTCCCCCTGTTGCAGCCAGATGCCTGTGCCTACAACAATCACCCATGCTTGTCTAGGATGGTAAGTGAGAGCCTACACCACACACTTGGTGGCTATCTACCTGGGCACCTGAGCTGAATACATACAGGAGGAGTGGGCAGACTCCTGAGCTCACATACCTAGTAACAGATCTAACAACCTGGTGACAGCACATTAGAACTTCAAAGGTGCCAATAATCAAACTAGCTCATACAAGCAGCCTATTTGGGCATATCAAAACAAAACAAGAAGCTAGGACACAGTAAGCAAACATAAAATAAATAAGTATAATAACTTATTGATGGCTTGGAGACAACAGTCAATATTAAATCACATAAAGAGGCGATCCATGATAGCTTCAGCAAGTTCCCAAAATAAAGAATCTAGAAATTTTCTAGAAAGGGAAAATTTCCTGGAATTACCAGAGGCAGAATACAGAAGATTAATATACAGAACTCTTCAAGAAATTAGGAAGGAAATTAATAAAAACACAGAACATGCAATAGAGGAAATTAAAAAGATTTGAGAAGAGCATAATGACAAATTTAACAGGCTGCAAGAATCCATA